TATCTGTTGTCAGTAAAACTGAATTACAAAAAAACAGACAAAAAACACTGTCCACTGGAGAGTGAGAGCCCATTTTTTGCAGTGAATGGATTTGCATATCATAGAGGACAATAAAGTTGAATGAGTGGCAACAAAATGCGTAAATCCAGAGTAGTTAAAAACGCACTTCCTATAAAGTTGTGAGACAGATGTAGGCAACTAAAGATAAAAAGTCATCTTGATGAGTGTGGCTGTAAATAAAACAAGGATGAGGTTTCATAGAAAGCTCTTACATCAATGGTGTCAACTTTGTCATAAATGTAGTTAGTATATATGAGGTGTTTAAAGGTTTATAAAGTTTTTAAAGTTTCTATTCATATTTCTTCACCGTCAGACATAACTGGTTAAACCTGACAATAGGATTTATGAGACCTCAGAATTGTTTCTACACAAATACCTACAACTGAAAGCTTTTCCCTAGAGAGACATTAGAGTAAGATAAAAAAAAAATTGCAAACAGTTAAAGCAAGATGTCTACATAAACTGTACAAAACATCAAAAAATACTCTGTCTTAAGCAGCTTACATTAAACTATACTGAACTTTTTCTTTTTATGGTGAGTTAGGATCACTAAAGTAACTAATTTCTCCTAATTCAGACCACCTGATAGAATTGCCTGCTAACCTGCAATGGAGAGCTGTGTTTACATTAAGCTTTCTCTCCACGATTCTTTCCTGAGAAGAGATCACTCATAGCAAACACTTTAAATAACACCTTCTAATGTATATATGTTAAATAACTATGAGGCATGACAACAGGTTTTGACAGAAATTGTAACCTTCTTCAGATCAGAGAAATGTCTTGTGTTACAGATGGCAGCGCTTACTACTGGGCTCACTTCTTCAGAAAGACGAATGCTTTGGAAATTCTTTCAAAAGCTTTGACCTATATTTACAAATAAGGTTGGGTTGTTTTTAATTTCCTGAATATGTCATCTAAAAATGATGCTGCATCTCCCCCATTTGGAAGTTGGGATGTCATTTTCAGGCTTGCTAGCTTTGCCCTTTATCGTCTAGATATTATCATGGTCATTATGGTCATTATGGGCTTTCAAATTGTAGTTTCAACACACAACGGAATATTTATCCAAAGATTAATTTCTAAGTGATGGGCTGTTAAACTTTAGTCCTTGAGGGTCGCTTTCCTCTATTGTTTAGATCAATTTCGGCTTTACTGAAATGCAATCTTCTGATGTCCCTATACTGAGCATAATGTCAGTACAGAGCTCGTTTCCCTGTGGTTAATAAACCTTTTGTAATAGTTTCACTCAGCATCTTTACAAGTTTTTTTTATATTTTCTGATACACACATTACACACTTACACCTGCCCAATTTCTGTGTTACAGAGCTTGTGTTCTTTGTTTATTCTTGCATACAGTTGTTTAAACATTACCACCTCCAGGCAGCTGGATATTGAATGCAAGGATGAACTAGATATGGAAGTCCACAATGTTCTTCATGACTTCTTTTTATTTTTTATGAGACCGTGTATTCAAAGTGTTGTGAAATGATCCATTATCTAGATATTTCCATTTCATAAACCATCACAAACTTTTCTTAAGTGTACTTACTGGAGGCCAGTTTAATCTGAAAAAGTCAAAAAAGAGACAATTAGAAGAATTTTATTGATACAATTATTTCAGGACTTTGGCACTCAGACCTCGACAGGAAACATTATGGCTGAAATGTACTTCAATATGCATAAGCAGGTGTATGAGAACACCTATTGTTCCCTCGAGGCCTGAAACTGGTGATGGAGTGGAAATGGATGAAGTTGGTTCAGTCCATAGACTGTTGGTTGGCAAGACGGTGTGCTTGAGCTGATTTGGTGAGAACAAGTAGACTGTATGAGCTGAAACTAGTGCTTCACTCGGGACCCAGAAAATAGATGTCCAGCTTGCATAAACACAGTTTGCATGAACCTGTCCATGATGAGCAAGCATGAAGCGACAGTGGAGAGGAAAAACTCCCCCTTCGGAAGAAACCTCTAGCAGAACCAGGCTCAACTGAATGTGATGGGGAATGCAGTAAGTGTCCGGGAGGAATTACACTCTTATAGGGATGAGGTTGAAGAAGCACCTTGGGAAAGCCAGATGGAGCTTAGCTACAATGGTGGAGAAGGGGATGGAGGTGGAATGAATCTGGGTCATCTGAGTTAAAATCAGGTGGAATCATGGATTTGAAGACCCTTTAAAATGGACCCTGGATGCTGATTGGGCTTTGTTGAATTGCGGTTAAAAGCTAATAGGTTTGCATCAGAGGCAGGAGAGCCTCTGATGATGAGGCAGGTAATTTAGTTTCTTCAGTTGAAGGCTAGGCTTCATGAAGTACACTGGCCTCCATTTGATTTTAATACAGTAAATTCAATTCACTTTATTTACGTATTTAGCACCGATTTACAACACGTCATCTCAAGGCACTTTACTGAGATGATTCAGACAGATCATACAGTCATATTAGTTCATAGTATTCTCATGCAATCCTTTACATCAAGCATGCTTTTAGCGACAGTGGAAAGGAAAACTCAATTTAAACAGGAAGAAAACTCCAGCAGACCCAGGCTCAGTGTGAGCAGCCATCTGCTTAGGCAACTGGGGTTCAAGTGGACAGAAGCAGACATAGAAAAAGAAGCAGAGATATAAAAGGTAATTGTCAACCAGCTCCACAGGCAGCCCCGTCCAAGAAACACACAGCCTGGCAGACAAGCTCCGAGCCAGCTCCCATGTCAGAGGATGAAAGAGAGCACATACAGTTAGTCACATAAAAAAATAACAGGACTACACTAAAAAACAGACCAAGCTACAACATCTATAAAATAAGATGTTGATAGCAGCTGCACAGCTGATATTTCTCTTCAGGATGGTGTCACAGCCAAACAGGAACAGAGCAGATGCTAAAGATAAAATGATGAGGAAAAGCATAATGCTAGATAACTAATAAATACTGCTAATGAGAGAATAGAGATAGAATGAAGTGGAATGATGAAAAGTGGTCCCTATGTCCTCCAGCTGTCTAAGCCTATAGCAGCATAAAAGATTTTAAAAATGTGGTGTACGGTAACCTGATTTTCAATTCATGGCTGTGCAGTTAACAATGAGTCTTTGACTATATGATGTTATTCTTATATTATTATGAAGTGAAACATTATGAATGTTTCTGGCATGTTGTTTGACATGTGCCACAAAGACTGAGGTCAATGGGGCTCGGTGGTACTAGAAAGTCTATTGAAGTCGTAAGTGAATATAAGCTAATTCTTCACAAAATAATGACAAATATAGAGAGAAAATGTAACTAAAAAATAATTAAAACTGATTTAAAGATTATAGATGGAGGTTCATGTCAGGTAGGACCATTAAAACACTGCACATTTATAGACATAACAAGATACAAGTAATAATGTTTTGGACAATGAAAATTTATCATCAAGGCCTGTCAAAAAAGACCAGTCTTTTTACGTTAGATTTACTGAGAGCTTTGCTTAAGTAAGAAAACAGGAAAGGCATAAATCCTGTTGCCAAGTTTAATTATGTCACACATATTTTCCCCACAGTTCTGATAATATTTATAATTACATTATAAAGTCTCTTTTTTTTTTTGCTTTAAGAAAAGAATCCTTTGGTTTCCAAGGAAGGTAAAGTGCTTTCAAAAAAAATTTTTATGCTAAAGCACCAAAAGTTTTATACACTAATGCTACCATACAAATGTGCTATGCTTTATAAACTAGCATCATTATTTTTTTAAAATGCTATTACCTTTATTTCCTCCTCACACACCATAAAATGGCTAATCATTAAAGCTGGATAAAAAAAAAGATGTATTGAAGATGCCCAGTACCACAACCACTAGTTAGACTAATGGCTCCTTCATGCTGTGTGTGAAAAATTGGGCCTCGTGAGCTCGTTAAAAACCTCCCATATGTGTAGATGGCGTGCCAAATCCTCAAAGAGCTTGGTGAGTGGTAGTGCATTTAGTGCATCCCCAAAGCAAAATCAGAACTTACGCTGGGATTGTTATGTGGATCCCCTGCAGTCCTTAAGAGGTCTGACAATTACACTGTTACATTTGTGGAAGGTCACAGAGCTGTGTTGAAATTTTGACTGGCTAAAAGGCCAAAGCTGCAACCTGGAGTGAAACATATTTATTTGTTATGCAATGTATAGCGCCCTTCCTAATTCAATGTAGCCCCTTTCTTTGCCTAAAAGCTTTCACAGCTTCAGTTCTGAGCACTTATCATCCAGCATGCCTAAAATCCCACAGAAGGGTTCAGATAGTGAACTGTTTTTTTTTCCCCTTTCTTTTTTTGTTTCTTTATAAAATATTAATCCAAATGTGGCTGAAAAGAAGGGGAAATAATTCACGAAAGCAAGTGTCTTTTTGAACAAAAGGAGTGACAGAGGTAATTTCAATCTTTTTTCTTGACAAACTGCAAAATAGAACTGTTAAAGTATCCAATATAGACCAGGATATATATTAAATAGACTGCTTAGCTCTATTATTTAAAACAGAGTATGTTTGTCCAAAATCTAGAATGTTTTAGGTCAGCAGTTTTCTTTTTATCACCTGTTCTACTGTTTATAATTTAGGCATGGCAGAAATTTTTTATATCTTAAGCAAAGCTTGATAATAAGGTGTGTGTAGCCAAACCTTTTAACAATGCCTTGGTGTGTCTCTGTCGTCATGCATGAAGATCTTGGTAACTGTTTAACCCACAACAGGTGAAATCAGCTCCAGGCACAGCAAACCCCTGAGCCCCAGATCCATAAAAATAATCAGACAGATGATGTCAAAGTTGGATTTATGAATTTCTCTTTACAACCTCGTAAAACTCAATCAGCATTCATTAACCATGAGAAAAACTTTGCTCCTGTTTGTAGCAACTGTGGTCACATGACCACTGGTTTCCTGGGCTTAAGGGTTTAAAAGGAGGTCTGTGGAGCGATAGAAACCAGACACACTGAGCTGAGCATCTGCTGAGAAAAACCAGTGGACCAAAGAAGCTGCAAAACTAACCGCTGCCAACTACCACCATGAAGGCTACCCTTGCCACTGTTGCTCTCCTTGTCCTGGCTCTTGGCTTGACCTCTGAGGCCGTACAGGTTGAAGTAAGTGATTCTCTGTGAGATTTCTACATGACTGTACACGATAACAATGCCAAGCTGCATTTTGATGACATGCACAGAGAAACGAAGCTTCATCTATCTATACAGGATGTGGCTTCTAATGGAAAAAAAATATTTTTATACATTTTTTCTATGCTTTGTGTTTTAAATAGCCATTACTAAGAACAAACTTTGTTTCTTTCTTCAGGAAAATGGACTGAGTTTCTCCCTGGAAGCCGTCAAGAGGCTTCAAGAGCTGTCGGAGAGCAGAGCCATGACAGGGCAAGTGAACCCAAGATTCAGGGCAAGCCCCATGTCCCTCTGCGCTGAGCCCATGCTCCCCCAGGAGCTGCTGGCCCTCTGCAAGCAGACCGGAGGGTCTTCATCTCTGGTCAGACTCGGTAAGCTGATTCTAACCTTAACGCTGTTAACAAGAGATTGCAAGTTATTAATATGAAATTGTTTTAACAATGTGACTGAGCTGACATTTGTCTGTTTTATGTCTCTATTTCAGCTGCAGTCCCAATGGATGTCTGTGAGATCTGCGCCTTTGCAGCCTGCACCGGTTGCTAAACTCTCACTGCAAGCTACATACATCTTGCTTTAAGCTGATCTTTTTTTCCTCCCATCCCCTTTACAACCTAATTATTGTTTCCCTGAATTTATGAGCCAAAGGCTTTTTCCCTGATTACCTGACTCAGCCCTGATGGGTACTTAATGTGTTTTTAAATAACTATTAGATCAAAAAATGGCCACCAAAGATATTAATCAGACCGAGGAATGTTTCAAAAACTGTTACTGTCTAACGTATTGACCTTATTTTTACTATTCAACTGACAGCTCTTCCGGAGTTTATATTGGATTTCACATTGGATGTTACATTTCTCTTATTTTGCTTTACATATTTAAGGAGATGTTATCTTTTTTCGCTTTTTTGTATTATTATTATTTTCAATAAAAAGCTTTCTCTCAGTGACCTGGAGCACATTGTGTTTCTTCTCAGAAAATGTCGGTAGAAATTCTGTTTAAATGTCTACCCCTCATTTTAATAAAAACTAAATACTACAAGGTTCAAAGAAATAACATGAATCTGAATAAAAGCAGTAACAAATAAAAAATTCTATGAAAATGAACAAATAAAAGTCAGACATTGCTTTTCAGCTGTGCTTCAACAGAATGATTTAAAAAATAATCTCATCTAACATGGCTGGGAAAAAAATGATGGTATCAAGTTTATATTTTTTACGCAACCTTTTGCAGCATCCACTGCTGTCAAACAATTCCTGTGACTGTGAGTGAGACTTCTGCACCTCGCAGCAGGTATTTCTGCCCACTCCTCATGAGCAAGCTACTCCTGTTGTCTCTGCTTTGAAGATTGCTCTTTTCCAGACGGCATGTTTCATAAGGTGACAAACTTTCTGAAATCCAATCTGGGGACATTACCAGCTCATAGATAAAAATAAATACATATCATCTAAATGAAAATAGGGATCAGGAACAGTGATGCTATCATCTATTTTTACATATTTATTCATATCTAAACAACAAAATCAAATGCAAAATCCAGGTATGTAACCCTATTTCCTAAGATTAATCAAATTAATCAATCAATGTCATTCATTCTTCTCTGTCTTCTTCCCTCTCCATATTTTCTTTCCTTTTCCTTCATTTCAACTCTTCTATCAGTGTTCCTAATTTCCTCTGCTCTCATTCAATCTTCTATCAGTCTTCTAATCTTCTTCTTCTATCAATCATACACTAATCTAAAACAGAAATATAATACAATCAAAATCTCTTCCAAACACAAATAATCTAATCATATATATCATGATTATTATGATGCTGGTTGTTATTATCTCACCTCATTAAATACTAAATAGGCTAATCATCACAATATTTGGAGCTACTGTACAAGTATAAACAACCTAATAAATTACCATTAAATAGGTGGTTATCACTTCCTCAATCATTCTCAGATCATGCAGATCTTGTCTCATTCAGTTTTCCTTTTACTGCCTCTTATTTTTATAGAATGAGAAACATTTGATATATCCAAACTGAGTGGTAGAAAAGTAGCCCTAAGCCTGGAAGTCATAAATCACAACCATAAAACAGCAAAACAACTTATAACTCTATTTACAATAACTAAATATCTGAAGATATAAACTAAAGCTCACCAATCAGCTCTAAAATCATCTTTAGATGAAATCTTGTTGATCCGTGGAGAACCACTGAACCAGATTAGCTCCTTACAAAGAGTTTTCAATCATTCTGTTTAATTTTATCTGAGTCTATTTCCTCATGCCAGCTGCAGCCAGTGGTCTGTCTTACTTTTTGTGGATTAGCTTGGTTTATGTTACATTTCCGGTCCTCATCTTTTGTAAAACAAAACACATCAAAGCTCTTATTTTATTAATCTGGGCACAGACCAAACATTTATCACAATGGTCAGCCCAGTAAAAATCAAATGAACTTATTAACATACTGTACTCACCATAATGCAGAGCAGCTGCTAACCATTGTAATAACGGTCTGTTTTAAAAGTGCTGCGCTCTGCTCCTCATCTATACATCAACAGCTGCCAATTAGCTGTTTCTGCATAGAGCATGCTCATGCGCTCTTTCTACAGTAATAACAGTATACATGCAACATTTCCCCCCTCATTCATAAAAACAGTAAAATCTGGAACATTTCCATAGACAGCTTTAGCCAGGGACGGGTGGTCCAAAACGGAAACTGTCCCCAGTATTCAGGGACGTCTGGTCACTGAAATGTTTCAGCCACTTCCTAAATATAGGATTTAGGTCAGGGCTCAAAGAGGATCCCTTCAGAAAAGTCCAATGTTTTCATCTTAGCCATTCTTGGCTGTTATCACCTTTGTATTTTAGGGCATTATCCTGTTGTGATACCCGTGACCTGTTACTGAGACCAAGCTTTCTGACACTGGGAAGCGCATTTCTCTCTAGAGTTCCTTGATTCAAGACACCTTGTACCAAATGAAGCAAAGCAGTCATAGAACAAAACAGAGCCTGCTCCATGTTTCACAGAAGGAGCAGTGTTCTCTTTTTCTTTGTCTATTTTTTCTGTGAACACACTTGTGTGACTTGGCAAAAAGTTCCATTAGAAAATTCTCCCTGAAGCTTTGTAGATCACATAAAGCAGGCATACCCAACCCTGGTCCTCAAGGCCCGCTGTCCTGCAGGTTTTAGAGGTTTCCCTGCTTTAGCACAGCTGATTATAGCGATTGCAGTAGACCAGAAGCCTGTTAATCAGCTTTCAATTAAAATCAGCTGTGCTGGAGCAAGGAAATCTCTAAACCTGCAGGACAGCGGGCCTCGAGGACTGAGGCCGGGGATGCCGGACATAGAGGACAGGCTAGAATAGAATAGAATAGAATAGAATAGAATAGAATAGAATAGAATAGAATAGAATAGAATATTTGTTATTGTTCCACCATAGGCAAACTCAAGTGTGCCAGTGGCAAAGCAACAAGGCAATGAAAACAGGTACCGGTATATACAAAGACAATACAATATAAAAGAGAGGAAAAAAAATCTTTGGTATGCCACCGTGTTTTAAAAAATGGCATATTCAGATTAAACTGAAAAGGTTCATATAAATATTATGAAATAATATTAAGTATTCAAAATAATGTGAAGGTTTTAGTAATAGTTTACCGAAAAACATCTTCAGCCTTTAATACTGCCAAACCTCCTTTTTATGACTGATTCTACAAATATTCCCTCCTCACACCCGTTTTTGTCAAGTGCAATAAACAACATGGCAGAGTGCAGGGGGTAGTAAACCGGCTGAATGGATGCATTTCAAGTTTTAAATTAGTGCATGAAAATGTATACTAAATTATTTAATTCTTGATTATTTTATTCTTGATTCTCTTTCTACTCTCTTTTCTGAGGAAAGCAGCGTACTCTTCCAATGTCTTTATTAACTGGTAATTAGACACAGATAAAGGGAAGTATAAGTGTTACTAGATATTAGCAGTTGGCAATTACTCAATTTAGTGTTCACATTAGTTCATAAAAAACGGCAATAAGGCAGTATTATTTTCTGAAATACAGCCATCGAATCAGGAAGAAAGGCAACGCTCAGGAGGAGACGTCAACAAGGTCAACGTTGTGTTGAAGGGCAAAGGCACAAAGACTCAAACCATTTCTTTCCAGAATCAGCTGCATTCATTCCTGAAACCTACATTTAAATCCTTTTAAAGGAAATTATGCTGCCTGTTAGTTAATGGAAAATTATTCACCGTTCCTTGGTGATTTCCAGTTGTCTTGAAAGGCCAGCAGGTCATATAGTTGAATGAATTGTGAAAATACAGCGAACAGTACGAACATTTCGAACAGTACGAAACACATACCAAATTAAAGACTTTAGTATTGAAAGGCAAAACCTTTGTAAAAGGTTAACTTTCATATTGTTCTTTTTTGCAAGTAAACTATAACTTGTAAATAAAGTCACGCATGTGATCATTTTTGCTCCTATTGGACAGGACTGACATGATGCGACAGAGCGCAGACCCTGCTGAGTGCTGAATGTTCTTGCTCTGCATATTTGAGCTGTTATAACAGATCCAAATCATTTTGGAACACCATTTATAAGATAGGTCAGTCAGGTCGTGTCATCAGGACCAAAGTTAGTCTATTACTACAACGTTTCACTATTTCCATCTCTCCATTTTGGTTCACATCAAATCAAGAAAGCATAATCCAATAAATCGTCTCTGTGAAAGAGCTAATCACGTTCCATTATTTCCATCTTTTTCCTTAGAGCCAATGTTCCAGTATTTCAATCTAGCAGAGGTGATAGAGTGGGGCACTGTAGAGAGAAATACAAGATATCCTTAGGTCGCTGGTTCAAATCCAGCTCAAAGGAGTGACTTATAAGGGGAGTGCAGTACACTTGTGCTCCGAGAAGGTTGCAAGTAGCCGGTTTGATCCCCACAGCCCCGTCAGCCTCCACTCTGGGTTCCTGAGCAAGACCCTTACTCCCACACTGCTCTCCGAGCGCCGTTAAATGGCAGGCCACTGCTCAACAAGGGGATGGGTTAAATGCAGAGGTAAATATCTCCAATGTGAGATCAATAAAGTTGAATTGTTTTATTACTATTTTTTTGTGTGTATTCACACAAGCACGAAAGCTACTGACAGAGGGGAAAAATGAATTCTGGTCCATTTAAAGTCCTTTTTTTTTTTTCATCCTAGTATCGCCTGATTTCTTTCTTTTTCCCCAAATTATCCTACAAAGGTGAAATTTGTCCTCTGCCTTCTGCCTCTTGGGAGGAAGGGGACTGGACATACCTACAGTAGTGGCACCCCAGGAGAAACACTTTCGCATTAAGGGTCTTGCTCACTGTCCCAGTCTAATGTTATTGGGCATCAATCAAATGTCAACAGCAGGACTTTTTTTTTCCCCTCTCTCTCTCTCTCTCTCTCTCTTTCTCATCAGCTCTGGATTTTTTATTTTTTTTTTTGCCTCATATTTTTAAGGGTGCCCAGCTACACAGAAAATGGGAAGCTCCAATAAGAAAGGAAGCTTTTTTTCCCACAGAGTTGTTCCATCTCTGTAGTGAACAGTTCAAGCCAGAAGACCCTGAGACAATGGGTCAGATCATCATAGAGATGGTGTGTTACCCCATCTGTCTTCAACTTCACATCTCATCTCCAAAGAATTGTATTTGTTTGTTTTTGTTTTAACTGTACAAGCTGACAGATGTCTGAGATTCAGATGTGAATTTGTTAATATCAAACTTTGATCTTTAGTTTTTTATAAGACATGTTCAACTGTTGTTTTTTTAAGTATTATGAGTAAGGTTTGTTTTTTAAATGATAAAAAAGCTGAAAAGACCCTAG